CAACTAGTCAAAGACCCCCATTTGAAAATCTGAGAAAGGTAGACGAAGTCCCGCCTCACGAAAACAAAACTCATACATAGGAAACCGCATCTTCCTATAGCTCGAGCAGATCCAATGATGGGCCCACGACTTATACACTTGCCAATTTATAGAGGAACCCTCACGAGTATCCTCGACTATGGAAAATGCGTCAGAGTCATCTTCGACAAAACGAGAAGCTGTACTTAAGGGCTCTTCCCCAACCCAGTCTTCGACTATCCGACTCTTCCCCTCGACGGGCGGGGTTGTCGGAGACTTCGGCTCCTGGTCGACTTCTATGACTCTAGGTATCCATGCAGCCATATTCACCTGAAAGCAGAGGAAAATGGTGAATTTGACGTTTCAAGATCAAATTCACCATTCCACCACAACTCAAGTGAAAGGGCGAAGGGGACGACATCTACGACCTAGGCTCCTCCAACCTCGACATCCACTCCCCAGCGTTATTTACTATCATATGTCCCTGGGGCATTCATCTAGATATATCATATATCCCGAGGGTATTCATCTAGACCTATCATATGTCCACGGGACATTCATCTAGATCTATCATATATCTCCGGGGTATTCATCCAGCCCTATCATCTGTACCCGGGGAGCCCATCTAGAACTACTATGCGTCTCCAGGAGCATCATCCTATACCCACCCTTGGCCAAGGGAATCCCGTTGTAGTCTCCGGAAAACCCGCAGCTTCCTCGGGACACTCAACGTGTCCGCCGTATAAGTTGCCAGAAAATAAAGAAACAAAAGGAAATGAACGAACAAACTTACTTGGTACGATAGCTTGGGTAGAGACGCCACGGACTTCGTGGTGGACGATGTAGCACCCCAAAATTCTTGGAATATTTATTTAATTTATTTAAATATGAATATTCGCATTTTTGGTGATTTTTGGTGGTTGGTGTGAATATTGAGAATTATGAATTTTGAGTTATTTATTTAAATAATAGTATATAATATGAATATATTGGTATTATTATTAATTTAAATAAATATAAATGAATTAAGGGCAAAGTGGATATTTCAGGACGAGTTAGTGAGGGTGAAGTTGGAAAGCCCAATTTTAAGGCCCAAAGTTAGGTTTAACAAAAAGGAATTTTGAGGGAATTAGGATTCATTCTTGTTAGACCGTGAAAAGGGAAGAAATAAAGGCCAGAGCTCTCAGGAAGAGGATTGAGGCAAGGCTTCGCGAGGTTTCCAAGAATCAAGGAAAAAGGCTTAGAGTTGGCAATTAAGGTATGGGGAGTATTACCTTCATTCTTTTCAATATGTGATTCAATGTGTTTAAAGCTGATTTAAGGGTTTAAGGATTTTTGAATATTGAATTGTTGTTTCCTTTCTGGTGGTGAGTTCAAATGAGTTTGAGGGATTTGAACTGATGGTCTGATAGGTTTGAGGCCAATTTGAGATAAGGGAAATTAGGCATTTATGGCCAAAATCTGTTGTTGAGGTTTTAAGTGTATAGGGTAATTGATTATGAGAACTCTAATGACTGTGGAGTATTTGTAAGGATTTATGGGAATTGGAGGCGTAAATATGATACAGGATTGACCTAATAAGTCGTAGTTTTTGTGCCTTTATCGTCGTAATACCTTAGGAATGATTTAGGGATGTTTTTTCGGCATTGGGGGAAGGAAATCATAGAGGTTTTTGGTCTAGTTTTAATGCTGGTGCATAACAGCGATTTGCTGTAATCGCGAGTTCACACAATGAAGAATGCTTTGCACAACGAACATTCACCCCAGACTCACACAACGAACTTGCTAGCGAACGTATCAGAGTTTCGCAAATTTTGATCTTGTGCAGTGATGTATTGATGTTTTGATGCTGTGATTTCTACGATGAATTACCATGAGTATAATTGTAATTTTTATGTGATTATCACATGATCGTATGATGACTCCCATGAATAATTGTGATGATTTATGATGTTGATTCCATGAGTTTTTGATGATTATATAATGACATGATTATTATGATGAATGATGATGCACCTAATGAGTTTATCATGAGGATGATATTGGCGTGTGCATCATGCATTCATATGTATCCGAACTTCGGTTCAGGACCTTGATTTTTGTGGCTTCAGTCCCATTGTGCGGATGTGAGGTATTTTGTTGTGCTCTGGTTCTCAAGTAGAACCGATCCTACTGTTGTGGATCTATGGAGGATTGATGGCCCAGTGTCCATTGAATTTTGTTGATTGGTACCACATACATGAGTCGTGTTGCATTTGCATTTATTTGACATTTTGGTGTAATTATAATGTTGTGGCTTTGATGTTCCTTGATGATTATGATGATGTTGAATATGAAAATGACGTTATTTTATATATTGATTCCTGTATTGATTATTATGAATCGTTTTACTCACCCATCCTATTTGAATTTTTCCTCCACATGGGTAATGTGCAGATGACCAGGCTTAGCTGTGGATGTCGTCGAGGACTTTTGAAGTTTTGGGTCGTTGGCCATTGTGGTTGACTCAGAGGGTCTTGCTCTGATAGTGTAACATCGAGTTGGGGTCTTTGAGTCAAACTATATTTTATCGAGTTTTTGTTATGTTGATTGCCTTGCGGCGCAAGAAAAACTTTGGATTATTGCCTTTTTGAGTTTCGCTGCCTTTTGAGTAATATTTTGAGTAATTTTGGGAAAATTCGTTGTTTACGGAGCATTGACTATATTAGAATTTTTGAGAAATGTGCGCTCTTTTATGATGATTTTATTGCGTTCAATATTTTACTCTGATAAATATGATTATTTTGCCATTATATTTGTGGGGTAGAAAAGAGTGTTACAGACGGCGCGACAGTGGCGATTGCACGACGATGTAGACGACGGGGGAGTAGGAAACAATTCTATTCGCTAGAGTTGGGAGCGAAAAGTAACAAAGGGGCAGACCCCAGCCTACTTATAACCCTAGCACGGAACTCGAAGTGCCCCTAGGCACTCAAGCACCCCTACAACTAGCCGCCCTAGAAAGGGCAATGGGCGCCTGGCACGTGGCAACTGTGACAGATCGTGTCCCTTCGCTTCCTCTCGAGCTCAGAAAGCCGGCACGCCCGATCACCTTTCACCTCCCCGACATGATGTTCCGACGAGCGCGGCTATCGACCCCATCTTTTGGGCATAAGACCACCTTTCCAATTTGTCCTCGACTTTGACTTATCCTTAAGTCGTCACTCCTCCACCTTGGAGCAACGACTTGAAGGGATCCTGTTCTGGACTGAGCCGAGAACTGCCCCTCAGCCGGGCAGACCCAACCTAATGCTATGCTGATGAGACCCAACAAGGCTCAATCCTCCTCCGTCGGGCACATGAATCAACCAGACACCTGCGTCGAGCAAAGACCTTCCTGACGGGGAAGCTCACACACTTCCCCCACGTCCTCTACGTGTCCCCCATGCGGGGACACATCATCAGGTAGCTACCCACTTCTGAAAGAGTCGGTCAACCCACCTTCCGAAGATCACGAGGGAGTTGATCTAGGGCGAATACCACATGCTGGTCTTCACTACGCCATGTAAGCCCTGAGAGTTACTTAGGTTTAGCTTGACAGTCTGGCCAAATACAATGTAACTGTTGCCCATACGCTGAGGGCACACTATACATATCCTCTTTCACTAGAGGGCCAGATAACTTCTTTTCCACACCTAATCTCTGTGCTTGCTTTCTCTCTGATCCTTTAGGGTCTGTTTGGTTCAATCGAGGGGAGGGGAGAGGAGGGATTTTTATCAAGGGGAGGGAAGGGGAAGGGAAGGGAGGGGAGGGGTTTTAATTACATATATGTTTGGTTCAAAATATGAAAAGGGAAGGGAGGGGAGGCATTTTATTTACAAATATGTTTGGTTCACAAGGGGAGGGGAGATATTTTAAAACTAATTTACTTTTTTATCCTTCTAATTTTACCATAAGACTTGTGATATTTACCGTTTATAATTCAAATACAAATTTATTGACGAAATATAAATATTCAATAAGAGATCATCATGAAATATTTTATAAAAATGCAACGATTATAATATATAATTGGCTAAATTATAATTTTGGTCTCCCTAATATTATAAATAAAAATATTACGATAACTAAAATTCACATTAAAATATGAAAAATAAAATAAAAACTTTAAACAAATATAATGATAGTAAGATGAAGATATAAAAATACAAAAAATATATATAAAAAAAGATTAAATTTGTTCAAAATAAAACTTTTAACATTGTTATAAGTTAAACTTATATTTAAATAAATAATAAGGGTAAATGTGTAAACATAATTATAATAAAATCAAACACATCCCCTCCCCTCCAAATCCCTCCAAATCGAGGGGAAACAAAAAGTTGTTCAGGAGGGATTTTGGTCCCCTCCATCTACCTCCTCTCCCCCTCTTAAAATTTGAACCAAACACATAAATTATTAAATATTCCCTCCCCTCCCCTCCCTTTACCCCTCCCTTCCCTTTACCCCCAACCAAACAGATCCTTACTCACTTAAGCATCAGAGTGTCTTGTAGGTACACTCCATTTCTCTCCACAACTTCAGTAAAAACAACAATCCAATAACACGTGGCAGACTATTAATTTTTTCTGATCAGGTGAGATTAAGATCCCTCCGAAAATATGACCATTTTGGATTTTCATACTGTTATTCAACTTGTCGATTGGAAACTCCCAAAACTTATCATACATACATATATTGGGCTTTTAATCTTAAAACCAAAGGCCAAGTCTATCAGGCTAACCCTAAATTACACCGGGTCCATTATGTTTCAGTATTACCCATTCCATCCATCTCTTCTCTCTTTCTTCCACCTCGTTCCATCTTCCTCCGTTTCCGGCGACCAAAAGCGGCGGACATCCCGTGCTCCGCCGAGTCACTGTTAACTTGAGTTAACCGTATTACACAGAATTAGTTGCTAGTTCAAAACCAAACACCAACAGTTTCTCCGATTACAGTCGTCAATGGAAGGGTTAAAGGTTTCAGAAGCCAGCTTAATCGTTCACATTCATCCTTCTAAAAGCAATCAAGTTTCAAAATCAGTTCTTCGTGAACTCAGCACTATGCTTTTCACGTAACCTTTCTTCAACCAATTAGTTACACACTTTCAAATATTGTAATCAACGTGACTCTTTATTTATTTTGTTATTGTTGCGTCTCTTTGCAGGTACAACGAGGTCTTCGACGGTATCGTTTTGGCTTACGATGTTAACTCGTTAGACAAATGCGCGAAGATCCTTCCTGGAGTTTATCCTTATTTCGGTGTTAATCTGAAGGTTAATCTGTTACTTTTTTCTCCCAAGCCAGATATGCTTTTAGGTATTCTTAATTTCATTTGTTAATGCTGCTAGTTTTGTTTTGTTCTATAGTTGTATGAAAAATCAACAAATCGTGTTAGTTCAATTTTCTCAGGGTAGTTGATTAATTAATAGGGTGTGTTGTGTTGTGTTTTTTTTTTTTTCAGAAGGAAAGGTAGTGAAACTTACTCATGAGTCTATTCATGTTGTTGTGCTTGGATTTGCTTCCGCGATTATAACGGAGAAAGATATCAGGGCAGAGTTTGTGTACAAAATGGTGAGTGTCTTCCAGGAATGTTTTGATAGTTGCCGTTGCTTTGTGTCTGCGTTATTGATATATTGTGTATAGTTATATATGTGTTGTTTTAGTATTCAGTAGTGGTGATGTGTGGTTTTTGTTTTTGTAGAAACACGGGCAAGAAGTGTATGCGAGCAACTCTCACAAGCGGCATGTGATAAAGGTTGGAACAACGATAAAATTTTTGGTCAAGAGGTGACGTACTTTTAAATTGCTTCAAATAAGATTAGATTTGTTCAATGCATCTTTTTGCGTTACAATTACATGACAATCTGTTTTATATCATGATAGGTAGGACTCTAATTTGGTTTCTTTTTCCTGATCTTCATTCTCTAGACTCAAATTAGTGGAATTGATTGTATGTTGAATTTTAAATATATGAGTTAGTTCAGCCATCTATAAGGATATATAGTAACCATCCCTCTAGATGGGTTGCATTGCGTATCCTAATTGATTTTTGATGCGATGAAGAAGCACTACGTATATGTACATTTGTATGAGTAGTAGCTAATACTATAACTCTATACCGCTGTGTCATTGGTTGTACATGAATATATTCAAAAAGAATTGGCTACCTTATCATCAAATCTGTAGGGAGTGATGGGAGTTGGACTTCTACTAACATATATAAATCCCTTTCTGTGTCTTTGGATGTATATCTAGTATCTACTAGGAAGGTTTGCCCGTTCTTTGTATAAATACTTGTCCTATTTTGGGTCTTGTCTAGTCTAGAAGCACCCTTAAAGGCGCACAAACATACATTCTGCTATAGCCAAACCACAAATGCACCAAAATGTACAAAAGTTGTAACACACTTGCTGGATTTTGGTATCCTTACTCTTTCCAAAACCTTAAAAATGAGCCTTTAATAATTGCTCTTCGGGAGTCTTTCTCACTTGTCGATATGTATGCTCCTATACTGTCATTGGCAACTCATACACTCACATCTTATATCTCTCAATAGTAATATTTGTTTATTTGTATAGGATTTAATTTGAAGAGTTTTATTTGTTTTTCTGTTGGTTGTTGTTAGTCTTCACTACATGTTGGATAACTTAGGTGGTTATGGTGACTTGACACAGTTGCCACTTTCTTTCATTGATAGTATATCTTCAAATAGTTTTAAAATGACCCTGGGTAAAATTTGCATGGGTTATGAGTTGAACATTGTATCAAATGATTAATTTTGGTGATTAATTGCTGCAGCTTTGATGAGGAAATGCTTCATGTTTATGGATCTCTAGTTCCAGATAACACAGGAAGCATACATTGGCTGGATAAGAAATTGGAAGTTGTTTCCCACTCTGACAGGTTTTTCTCTTTCAAATATTTGTTCAGTCTAAAGAATATTCTTAAAAGTACATATCTTTGTGCTTATCTATCTTAGAAAACCTGACAGGAGCATAAAAAAGAGAGATAATGAGGGACAACCATTAATCTCAGATAAAGATGCTTTAGATGGGGAACGGTCAACGGGTGACACTGCTCAAAAACTAAAGAAGTCGAAGAAGCAAAAAGTCAGAGAAGAATCTTGAATGCAACTTATATTTTCACAGGTTATTTTAATTAAAAGGATTTTATATTTTGTCTTAAAATTTGATGACGAAGTGTTTATTGTTTGGTGACTTTGTTTCTGCATTAATTTATTTATACTAAAACTACTGTTAAAATGTATGTTATAAACTTAACAAAGTCAACATGTGAAGAAAGAAACAGCGTGTAACTATAGGATTCCCACTTCCTCTGCTGGAAGAAATATTTCAAATAGAGAAGAATTCTTTGTGCATACAGAAAAAGGTTAATTCAAGTGACACGAAAAAACTGAAGAATAATTAAGGCTGCCCTATCTCTGCATGTTTGATACATAGGCCCTCTTTAAAGAACATCAAACAGGAGCAAGAATATAGATGATCTCGTAATGGATTCAGACGTAAAGAGACAGTTAAAGCTGTGTGCATTCTCTTGCTAGTCTCCTAACAGTTGCCAAACACCGAGATTCAGCAACCTTGCCTGGCTTTTCTGGCTTTGTTGGGTATGCTGATCAACCAGAACCCATGTTCACCCCTGACATATACCCTTCTAAATTAAATAATTTTATACTTCTAGTTGAATTAGATTTCCAGCATCTATATTTGTTTAACTTCATTTGTCCTTTTTGGAGCATGGTTAAATGCTATAAGCTGATTAATGACAAATTGACAATGCAGAGTAGCTAAGTCTATGGATGGAAGAGTTTTGACTCGCCAGTTTTTGATATATTACTTTTTATTCAAGGACCCATACAACAGGGAAAAACAATTGGCATGCCATTACTGATGGGAGATTTGCTCCTTGGGAATGCGTGCACTGGTTGTATCAATTAGATCACACTCTTCACAATTTGTATGATTGTAATTTGAGGAACTTTGCTTCTAATTTAAAGTGTGAATTTAGAAGCCAGTCTATTATTATTATTTTTTATTAAAGAAATTTTTTGGGTACCATCTTTTTCTATTTGTAAAAAGCATGAATAATTGAATTCGTTTTGAAGTGGGACATCTAAATTGTACACTAGGTCCTAAATCAGAAAGAATGAAAAGAGTGGTGTAGTGAGTTAAGTTTTTGATTAGGATTATCATTTTTCTTGGTTTGATCACATTTTGAGATGGATAAATACTGAAACGGTCTTCACCTTTTACCATTTATATAAAACTTGGAACAAGATTCATTTGTAATCATTACCAACTTCACTAGTCTAATATGGGTCCATTTAATTCAGTGTTTTTTTTAATTTTTATTTTATTTTATAGTCTTCTAGATTATTGTTTTAAAAAAAGTTATATGAGTTAAAGAAAAATTAGTTTAATTAGGAGAATGGGATAACTTTTTAGGGATAGAAAAGTTTATTCTGCCATTAGTTGTTTCTATTTGAAGTTATAAATGCAATTTTTACAATGAAAAAAATTTACCTTTCGACTCACACTTTACATTCAACATACTTTTATCTGCAAAATTAATTCATTAAGAATCAATTATTGTCACCGCAGAACCAAACACACATGCGGTTCAATGTTATAATTCAACTTACTTTTAATTAGAATCAATTCTACAAAATTAATTTATTCAACCTCTAAGGGTTTGCCTAATGGTAGATGCATGGGTCTTGAGAGCATGTTTCTTTTAAAGTCTCGGATTCGAATCCTATTAGGTGCCACCAATCCTTGTGTTGGGTTAGTCCATACAGAACTTTGATCTCCCTTTAAATAGGACCCCCTACTAATAGACGGTGTGATTGGTCCTCTTGAATTAGTCGGTCGCAAAACGAAATATTAAAAAAAAATCCATTCATAATCAATTATTGTCACCATAGAACCAAACACACATGCAGTTCAATAGACTTGAAAATGAACATTTCAAAAAGCAAAGCTAGAATCGGGTGGGTGTCACCCTAGGTTAAAAATGAACATTTCAAAAAGCAACGCTAGAATTGGGTGGGTGTCACCCTAGGTTACCTGATTGTGACTTTGGTCACACGACCCATACCCGTATCCTTTCTATTTTTTTTTTACCAATTCATCTTTTTTTTCTATCCTTTTATTTTCTTTTTCTTTTTCATAACTTTTATGGGTATGCGTTTTTAAACATTTCTCACCATTTTTTTTTATCTAAACCTCAAATTTAGAAAATTATTATTCTATTATAATCTCAAACTTAATATCGCGCTTCACATAAAAATTTCCAATTTTACAACTATTTAACTCTAATAAAATTAAATGATTACTAAAAATACTTTATAAATAATAATATTTATTTGGTTTCAACAAAGGAAAGGTTTAAGGCTAATACACCTCAAACCTTAATGCTTAACAATATAGAACAGTTCACCTCAAATTTTAATACAAAAATATAAATAAATATTATTCATTTAATTCGACTAACACATATTAGTTGAGCTATTTCACTCACTCTTATTTAGATATTTAAAAATTGAAATATTTGAAGTTAGAGTGTCATTTTAATTATCCTTCTCTTATTAGCCTTTTCAAACTTTCATAGATCTTAGACATTCACATTAGGTAACTAAGTTATTTCACAGTCAATTTGTGTTTATCATTATCATGAAAAAAATTAAGAACAAAATTAAATCTTATAAGTCAAATACTTTAATTATTAGAAAACATAACCGTTACAAATTTAGTATTATGAGTATTACTCAACATCTTTAAGAAAATATGAAACTATAGATAAAATGTAAAATATGATAGCACTACGAAAAACATAAAAAGTAAAATAATAAATTTAAAACAAGTATAAAGATTGACATAAGCTAAAAAGAAATAAAAAATTAAAATAAAGAAAAATGAAACAATTAATAAGAAGAACAATAGGGAGAGATGATTATCCGTGTAAAACGCCGAAATAGCGTCAGATCTGGAGAATAACATTGATGCAATAGTGGAAGAAAATCAAAGCTCTATAAGTTAATGGTGAGTTTACTCTAACCTCCTTCTTAAAACACTTCCAGCCAATGATTTATGCATGCTACACTAAGACGCGAATAATGGATGATGAGAGATATGAATAAAAAATCAAAATCTATGACTATAAAATGCCATGACTTTAAAACAAATTAATCACGACACGTTAGAAAAATAGAGTAGCAGTCTTAGCAAACAAAAACATCAAATCACACTACTTAAAAGGGAGGTGCGATCCTATTACTGTAAAACTTCAAAAATCTCTTTCTTCTTATTCTAATTTTCTTCCAATTTTACCTTTTCTACCCTAAATTTAGTTCAATTGTTCTTTTAAAAATAATTTCTACTCCACCCTAAGATCAATCAAATTAAAGTATGAATAAAAATAAAATACAAATAAAATTGATAAAATTTAATTTTGATGGGTTGTCTCTCACCTAACACTCGTTTAATGCCATTAGTTTGACATTTAACCTCTTAAGTTAGGGAGGATACTTCATGCTACAATTGTCATTGACCTTGTTTGCTTTTTCATCTCAGTATCCAACTCAACTTCAGTCTTCAGTTCTTGTGGGCATGTGACCTTTAACCAATAAATAAAGGTTTGATTTTGTTCTATCATTTGTTTCTTTGGCCTTTAGAATCAAGCCTTTTCGACTCTAAGTTTATACGTTTATTTGTCCTTGCTATCATTGTTTTCTTCAATCACTTGGTAAATATATTCAAACTTATTATGATTTATCTTTGTCTTCTTTGACAAGTGCATTTCCTATTCAACTTTTGGCACTTGCTACATATTCTCATCACTATCTTCTATATTATCCCCCCAAAGTTGAAAGTCATCAAACACCTTGATTATCATATTATCTTTCCAAAATTTGAGTATAAGCTCACCACTTTCTAAGTCGTCATTTTCCACGGGAGTACGTAAAAATGTTTTTTCCAAGATGATAAGAATCTAAACTTTTTTTTCAAAGTCGACAATTATAAATTAACAGGGTAAATAAATATTTCCACAAGGAACTATAAAAGATTTATCTTCTAATGTCAATGTTAGATTTATCATAAAGAATGATATCAAACTAGTGTTTTCCCCCAAATCGCTTAATGCTCCATGAGTATTTAGTTGACATATGGTGCTAGGTATATTGAAACTCCCTGGGTCTACTAGCTTTGGTGGAAGCTTCTATCGAATGATTGCACTACATACTTAGAAAAAATTAACTATCACATTGTTCAGGAGTCTCATATTCTTTGATAGAAGCTCTTTCAAAATTTTAGTATACACCAAAATTCGTTGAAGTGCTTCAGAGAACAGTACTAGCCACCTACTAGTTGTTGAATAATGTGAGGAATTTATATTTTGTCCTTCTTTAGGATATTTATTCTTTATTAGTGGGGTATGGTAATGACTTAGAGGTCAATCTCTTTTCCTGTTTTTTCTCTCCCTCACTCATATTATTTCTTCACTCTTTTTTTCTTTGTCTTCACTTTTCTACTCTACTCACCATTTTTTGTTTCTCTTTTTTTCACCATTTATCCATATTCCATTTTTTTCTTCTGATGATATATTTCTATAATGTTTAGGTTTTAAATCTTAACAAACCTCCTCCTTATGAAATCTATTGCATAACATGTTTCATTATTCTTGGGTTTATCGATTGCATTCCCTTCATAATTGTTGGTAGATTAGTTGATAACTCTTTTGAGGGTTGCTCGACTTATCTTTCTAAATTCCTAATTGAGGCTTCATTATTATTGAAATTATCTATTCATGCATGCATGAAGTGATTGAATGTTTCCTCTGTTTGACATGGTTTGTTTTCTTGTTGAGGTTGTTGATTGTGCTATTGATGACATTGTTGTTGATTCTTATTCAAATACCATTGTTGTGGTTTTTCTATATGGTTTATGGTATTGTTGTTTATTCGAGTACAAGTGTTTTAGATTCAAGTATTGTTTCTATTGATACTGATAAGGTTGTTATTTCTTCGAGTATTGATGTTGTTGGTTCAAGTACTCTTGTTGATATTGACATGGTTATTGTTGATTTGAGTACTGATGTTGTTATTGTAGTC